TAGAACCAAGCACAGCAGAGGAATCTGTAAAGAACTAAATTATTCCCCATATACAAGATGGTTTGGATAACATTTAGTAAGTAAAACATGAAATTACTCTGTGAGCAGGGAGATTAAAATGAAATAGCCTTATCTTGTCTTATGAGAAGCCCTGCTGAAAATGATTGTGATGAAATCACAATACTTACCTGTCAAAGTAAAATTAAGAGTTGCACACATGACATTGATCTGTCCTAAAAGCTGTTTCACTTAAACTTGCCAATTTTCCTTGACTGTATTTGAATGAAGAATTTATTTTAAAATTTTATTTAGAGGGTCATGCAATTCAAGTTTCCATTTTTTTGCAGTAGTATGGATATTTCATTGTTTTAATGCTTCATTGAAATCGGCTGTTGCTGGGTGAAGAAATACAAATGTGAAACTAGTTGAAATTTCATTGAAAAGCAAAATACTTGTAATACAAATGAAGCTTTTTAAAATGTCAACCTTATTAGTGTATATGAAGGGTTAGAGAGTAATTTATGGTGTGCTTGAAGACAAGAATTTCTATCCATCTCTTATGTATCTGATTGACATTTGATTGACAGTAGCTTAAAAGGCTGGTTAATATGGAATGGACAAAAAAGTCTTTTTAAAAAAGTTTAAAAAATCTTAATGCTGGCCAGATGGACTATAAGTCAGGCATCTAATGCATACTTTTAAGGCTAAACGGTTTGTCAGTCAAACCCTTTCTATGGCAAACAACAAGGACAACGGGAATTCTTTCCCTTGTATCTCTTAGGAAATACAACTTATTCTCTTTGCCTTTATTTACACTATCTACTTCTCAAACTGGAGAATATTTCTGAGGCATTTGGGGAATGCTGAAGATTTTCATTCAAACAAATAAAAGATCTTATTCATACCTAATAATGCAAGGAGCAGAACTTCTGATTTTTCTGAGTGCAGTGTTCCTAGAGATTTCTTGTGTCTTACAAATCCCACTTGAATTTTCATAGCACCAGTTGGAGTTTGTGCACAAATTTGGCAAAAATTAAGTCAAGCTTATGGCTTGATTTAATATAGGCTTTAGCTTATACAAGGTGCATGACCTCTTCATATTTGAGTATTTTAATTAATGCAGCTTCTCTGAACAAAAAGACTATGATATTGAATAAGCTGTGAATAGCCCCTAAAATATCACAGAAATGTGCCGTCTTTCCAGTGTTATTCATATGGCATGTCTGTATGCTGTCCCACGCTCTGAGGAACACAAAATTCAGCTCATTTTTTTTCTCATATAAATGTAAACATTTCATTAAAATTACTCTGAAGAAAATAAATCCCTCTTTACCTCTTTTTATTCTCCACTATTAAGCCTATACTATCAGTTTGTAGGAGCCAGTTTGCTTTCCCATTAGCTTACTGACCAGCGGTTTGCTATTTTGTCTCCTTTTTTCGCTGTGTGTATCATAGATCTTCCTGTTTTCTCATTCAGTGAGGTGTTCAGCTTGTGATTTTAGTTGGTGTGTAAGATTTTATTTGGATCCTCTTCTAGTAATAAATGTTTTGATTTTGCCTCTCCAGGACAAAGTCAGTTTCCATTGAGAGATGACTAATCCCAGAAAACTGCCCTTTGCCATTTCATTCCATATTGTTCCAAATATTGAATAATATCTTTCTTTTATATTGCTCCTGTAAAAGGAATCAATTAAGGCCTCATGTTTCTGCAGTGTATTCCTCAATCACTTCCATCATCCTGTTTGAACAGTAGTTAGGATTAATCATAATCTGACCATAAAACTCCATATATGCGTTCATAGTCTACTGGGAAACAATTATCAAAATTTAAAAAATCTGTATGTAAAGTGCGGGTGACTAGAGAAAAACTCAGAAAAGAGAACTCAGTAATATATGGATGAAGACGTAACGACATATTCAAAATTTGAAAATTACTTTTGTTCGGTGTCCAGTAACACTTAATAAACATAACAATGATGAAGTGGTAAAAATCTGCTCCTAAAATGATTTTGGCTTCAAATGATTTTTTACTTTTTTCTTCCCAAAAGAGCTGACTCCAAATGAGTGATTCCCTGTGTGGAATACTACATTAGTCGTATTTAAATTTTGGTGAGGTGAATTCCACCATCACTGCTGTTTGTTTTAAAAATTATGTTAATGAGTAATGTCTGGTGCTATCAAATTCCTTGTGCTCACTTTTCTTTCCCTTTCAGAGGTGGTCTCAGTATAACAAGAAAAATTTATTCTGTTGTATTGAACTGACTTTAGTCCTAATTCAGATGGCCATAAAATATTCTCTTAAGACCTCATGTGTTCATGAGCTCAGTGTAAAAGTGCTGTTTCAATAAGAATGCATTTCTGAAATAGGAAGATGGCATGTTGTAATAGGCTTATTTAATCCTTATATACCGTACTGAACATTTTCTGAAGTACGCAATTCCAGATACTTTTTTTTTTTTTTCTGCAACTGGATCATCTTTAAGGTCCCTTCCAACCCAAGCCATTCCTGTGAATGTTTTTTTAATAACTTCATTAATATATTCCCTATTAATTCTTTTAAATCAGTTCTCTCTGTTCTTCAGATTAGATTTAAAACATTCTTTCAATTAAACCAACCAATGTATTTCATTGCATTTTTTTATTTGGTCCTAGTTAGAATAACAGACCAAAATCAATTTTTAAAGTATTGTTTTATAGCCAGTTTGATCTATTGGTTCATGGTTTAGTTTTCTCTTATGTGTTTATTTAAAGACACTGAATAATGTATGTTGCACTGTTAGAGGATAAAAGGTATTTTAGACAGAAGATACTGTGCAAACCCTACAGCTATAAATCAGATCACATGTGATTTGAAATCTATTTAAAGCAGGCAAATATTTCAGAGACCATTCATGGTGGCATGTGCCACTGTATATTGTACAGAACTCAGCTTATGTAATTAGTAATAAAGCACATGCAGAGAAAAAAACAGCAGCAGCATACTTTCCCACATCATAGAGAATAAGTCTTCATAAAGCTGCTGAAGTTTCAAGGAAAGGTTGTATGAGTTATGCACATTCTCACCAGCAGTAAGTGTAGTAGGTGCAATACCTCATAAACAGGCCTGCCTGGTGTTCGTGAGACACTGAGAGGAATATAGTTCTTAAATTGTTAGCGACTGCTGTGCTTTGCATTCCCTGCTTCCTTCATTACAGCTTGGCGAACTCATTCCCTTTGCTGTACCTGAGTCCTCTGTGTAGATTTGGGTTTCTGCTGGTGGTTCCACATTCTGCATGCTTTCCTCAAAGTGGAGCAATGTGCTTTCCCATAAATGCTAAAGGTTATGGGTCAACCTCCTACAGGCTCTGTGTTCCTGAGAAACGGGCTCTTTCTGTTGGTGATAAATCATGTTTTGATGTCTTTGTTCCGAAACGTTCTTCATGTTGTAATATTGAGTTGAAATGTACTCCCATAAGAGTTAGCTTTTCATATTGGGCTGGAAAATCTTCATCTTCGTGTAGCAATTTGTTTTATTATAACCAATGGCTTTTAATTGTACCTCCCATAATGAAGAGCTGACTTAATACTCTGTGCTAATCTTGTTATGACTTTAAAAAGGTAAGTAATTTCTCTAACAATTCCTAACAGTAAAGTGTTAAAGGGTTTCTCAGTTCTCTTTTTTCATTTTTTTCACATTAATTTTTCACTTGTAGCATGAAATTTTCTTTGTGTCTTTTTCTATTTTACTTGTAAAAAATTTTTTTGTGGACAGATTTTTATTTGCAGCAAAACATATCACGTAAATTTAAATGAATCCAATTTAGTATAGTCATTGACTTCGTTTTTCAGATCAATCATGACTGATAGATAGAAGCTGTCAGCAGAACTCTTTGTTTTACCATTCCCTTAATTTATTTTTGAGTACTTTATTTCACATTCTGTTTATTACTTCAGCCTATGGGAGAAAGCTTACTCTGCATTCCGCATGATGAAGTTTTATCTTCAAGAACATAAATCCAGTTTGCTTAAAAAACAGAGTAATGTGAACTGAATGCTTTGGGTTTGGTTACATTCTGTCTGAACTACGCAGGAAAATGGTTCTGGCTGGTAGCCCAGTGTATCTTCTGCCAAGATAGATTGTGAGCAAAGAGACTGTAGAGTGGACAAACAATAAATCTATACTTTCCCTGTGAAAGGAAAGACAGCCATAGGTTGTTATTTCTGTAACTGCCTGTGAATGAGAAGAATTATAGTAAATACTACTACTGATAACTCTCCCCAGTTAGTCATGGTACTATATGTAATATAATATGGATTCTTCACTTAACAGTAGCTGTGAAAAGAATACAGATTTTTTGTAAATGTCACAAATAGCAAAGTAGTAAAACATACAAATAATGAATATGATAAAAGGCACTTATTAAAGCACATAACCCCATTTATACAAAGCTCCATTGCTGCTAAAACTGTATGTGTTAGGAAACTGGTGGGTTTTATTCAAAATCATTTTACTGGAGTTTTGATTAAAAATAACATTTAGGATAAGAATGTGCAACTCATATTAAACAGAAGTATTATGTAATGACTAATTTTGATGTCAGTTATGTTAAAACATGGTTTGTATTCTGCAGCTGTGAGCATAGGTTGGGAAACGATCAAGTCTAGCTGATCAAGCCTTTTATTTTATTATCATGGATTCCTCTTCCACAGCTGCTTTTAAAATTTGTGGGAAGCAAATTATTTCTCATACTGCATATGTTGCCCATCAGGTGAGTGATAATGTGGAAACTGTAGGCTGGGTGTAAGAAATCAAAAAGTAAATATAAAGTCCTCTGTGTGCACAGAATTAAAAAAATGACCTGTAAGAGGCTGTATGTGAAGCCAGCTGTCTTTTGTTGCCATTGTCATTTGGACATTGTAGAGCAAAACTTTGTCAACACGTTTTTTATATTAGAAGATTTGATCTGCAAATCTCAGCTGCTCTGTTCATTATAAATCTCTTGTTTTTGTCCATACACTAGCTCCACTATAGGTTGGAAGGGCTTAAAGATGAACTCAGGAGGAATAGAGGCTACAACTCGAGAGTAACTATTACTGCTCAAAGGAGCTGTTTTCCATTCGCAAACATTGCTTTGCGCTATGGGTTTGGGCTCCTTCTGTTCCTCCACTTTGTTGAAGACTCTCTCTTGACTTCCATTTTACTTCTTTAGCACTGTCTTTGTCTGCTAACATTTTTCCTCCTTCTCTAGTAGCTTTTATCTGTGTCCTTTGGATCACATATTTTACTTAGTTTGTTTTAGTAGATTGTTTCAAATGTTTGTGTTTTGTATTTTTTGGTTTTTTTGCCTTTTTCTTTAGGACTGTGTTATCTCACTGAGTTTCATTCCACAGTTTGCTGAATTGCTTGGTTATTTTGCAGCAGGCCCCTTCCTCATTTTCTCTTTTCATATGTTTTTCAGTGAGAAATAAGAGAGCCTCTTCCATTTTAAACAGTAGTCTTACACACATAGACCCATGTCTCCTTTTGCACACACCATCTTCTGCCTTGCCACGTCCATCCTGCTTCTCTATTTCTCTCTCTTCCTCTCTCTCTTAATCTGTGCTTCTCTTTTTTTTGTGCTTTCTTTCCTACCATTATACCATCTTTTTGGTCCAGAATTGTTCTTTGGTAAATTATAGGTAAATATTTACTTCTTCCAGAGAGAGTTCATATTATGCCTTTAAAATCTGGTAAAACAACTCTGGGCCAAATTTGGACATCATTAATATTTTGTTTGCAGTTTTCTTGTATAGTATTTTTGGTGGGAAGAGGGGAGGGCTTGGGGTTTTTCTGTTTGTTTTTGTTAAACAAGAGTTTTTTTCAGGGAAGGACACCATAACCCACTCTAAGTTGCAACATTACTTTCCATAAGTTATTCCATTACAATAAGTAGACTGTGTTGCGCTGTAGAATCCAATTTTTTTATGTGAATATACATTTGGGGCAAGCTGCTGTGGAACAGAAGAAAGAGGTTTAGAAGCTGGGGCACAGTTGGTTTCAACCTTTCATGGTTGTTCCTTTCTGAAGACAGCTTTTAGGGGGTTAAGCGTGTACCATTCTTCATCAGTTGTTAGATCATACATATTCACTTTCTAGGCAATTTTTCTGTAAGTGCAAATTCCAAGTGAGGTCTGAAAGATAATCTGGATTCACTCCTTTGCTCTTTCAGCAGAGACAAATGTTCTGCTGGGAAATTACACCCTCAGCATCACCTGTGCTATTCCACTTCTTTCACCACATGTACACGGTTTTACTTTATTAATACTCTCACTGAAATTTAAAATACCTTTGTCAGTAAAGTAAAAAAGAGAAGGATTCCATTCTTACTATCTCAGAGGTTTGTTTTCTTGTGAAGTTCACTTTAGCTGGGGTTTTGTCCATGCAAAATGTTTATTATTCAAGTGCTGCCAGTTCAGTCAGCTGGCCTGCCAGTAGTTCGTCCAAAATCTTGCAGCTTCAGAGTTATTATATGTTGTGCTATCCTTCCCACCCTGAGAAGAATTAACAAGAGCTGATGCCTCAGTATAGATAAAATTTATACTGTCTTGTGTTTGCAGTGCTGATACTCTTCAAAAAAACAATTCTTTTTTAAATCTTCCTGGTAAACAGATGGAACTTTAAATGTCCAGTTTTACTACAGTATTAGACCAATATGAATTGTCAAATTTCCCTGAAATCAGACTATCTGGAATAGCACAGTGGCAGCTAATCATCAAGGAATTTATTGAGAAACCATTTGCCATTCTCACACAGTTACTTTTTAAACTAGAATTGCACTGTAAAATTTATACTGAACATAGCGTTTCTTTTAACCAAACAGGAACAACTGAGTAAATTTATCTGGCTCCAGCCAGGAGCTGTTTATACAATTGTGAGTTGCTTATCCAATTGTGAAGAATTCTTATTAAACATTTTCAGAATCAACACAATTGAAATTGAATATTGAATACTTTAAACTCTTTCTATAGTACCTGAATATATATCAACAATAGATTGTTAAATCAAGTCATGATAATATATGTTAGCTGTGTTAGTGTTCTGTCTAATCATAGGACCTAGATTCAGAGCTACTGTAATTACAACTGTATAAGAAAATGTGGATTTTTTGTTGAAAACTGGAGCTTAACATATGACTTCAAACACTCTGTTCTTTGATTTTTCCCTATTACTGTCCTGAGGCCATGTTGTTTCTTATGAGAAGGGTATGGAATCAAATTGCTTGTATCAGATTCTGACCATCAGCTACTACTGTTCTGCATAAATATACTTATCTCATGCAAAATATGTAAGAATGTTGCTGAAAATATGTATAGCCTCTGTCTTAGATCCCAGGAGCTTGCCCATTTTATCTCTGTATTTTGCATTCTTGTTAACTTCTGTAGCTCATAGAATCCGTGCTCTCTCTGCAGGTCCAGTCTAGGTGCAGCAGCAAGGAGAACATCCTCAGAGCAAGTACGTACTGAAACTTCATAGCTCTATTGAGAAACTAAGACTGCTCAGGAGACAGCAAATGATAATCAGATCAGAAGTATATGGTTGGGACATAAGTGGGTTTCCAGATGAAATTTAATAACTTAAGACAGTGAAGTTCAGTCCTAAGATAAAAGTGTAAACAGCTCCCATTGTTCATGTATTGATGGAGAGACATCTTTTAATTTATTCTTCCAAGTTGTTTTTCTAATTACATGGAGGTCTGTGTTGTTTGTGGTGATGTATTGTTGTAAATGATCATGTGTGTCCAGGTTTTATGGACAAGAATCAATACTTAAAGACAATGAAAATGGAAGTTCTCAGATTGACTATAATGATTTTTATTTTCATGAGCATTAATTTGAATGTTGGATTACATCAAACCAAACAAAAAAATGCAAAGATTAAGAATTCAGATTTATCCAAATGATGCGTTCTTTAATTTGCATAATTCTTTTCCTTTGTTTTATGGGAATTATTGTAGTGTAAAATTTGATCCACCATATACGTATGTGTGTGTGTGTGCGTGTGTGCGTGTGTGTATGTGTGTGTATACATATATGTGTAATGACAGCAATAGGAAGTTGTTTTGGTGATAAAAGAGAAGGATGTCAGGAATTTTCTACCTTATGCAACCAATTGACTTAGCCGCTTCTAAGCTAGAGGATTATTTTGTCATACAAAATGCAGCTTGCTGTAAGTAGTTATTTTTAGAGCCATCTGACATTTCACATTAGTGAAAGATAACTTGGGAAAGTATGAGGAGTTGTTTAATGTCACTTACTTGTAAGTAAAAAGTACCATTTAGTAATTTTAGAATTTAAAAAATCATTATTTGTTTGTCTCTTGGATCTGTTTAAATGTGTGATAGGAAGAAATAGGGAGAGAGAAGGTTTAGTAGTTACACCTGCATCTTTCTTCCTTTCTTCATTAAGGTTATTCATGCTAGCATTAAACCTAGAGATGCTTTATTTTCTTGGCCTCTCTTGCAGTTATAATGGGGCTTACTTTTGGTGTTGGAACAAAGGTGTCAGAGATTAGGAAATTTTATCTATGTTGAAGAAGACAGATTTGTCAGAGATTTCTCTGAGATTTCTCAGATTTTAACAGAACCTTTGGCTTAAGCGAATGACAATGTATTAGGGACAGACTTGCGAATCTGAAGGTAGTACTCTGGGCACCATTCAAAGCATTCAAAAACCTCTGAATTCATTCACTTTTTAAGGGTTAAAGAAGTAAAATAATAGTCTCTGAAGTAGCTTACAGTGAATTTTAGGTAGCACTAGAACACAAAAGCATCTAATGGCTGCAGCATCAAGGTTGTTCGCTGCCACACATATTTTTTCCTAGCATCTTCTTTCATTTTTCCCAACTTACAAGAAAACGTTAGGAAAATGTGTGGAATCTGCTGGACCTGCAGGATTTACAGTGCTGCTAAGCAGGGTTTCTTTTTCTATACAGAGAAGGGTATGGGAAGTTTGACTATATATGATGAATACTTCCCTTTCCTTTTCCTTTTTAATGAGGTTGCTAACAAAATACAGGAATAATAATTGGAAATGCAAGCTTGCTAGGAAGATCCCTGTTGTTAGAACCAGGAGTGCAGTTTTTTCCATTCGTTACACTTTTATCTTACAATAGTTAAATTTGGATCACTTCCCCTAGTTTGCAAATGAAAAAGTGAGGTGTAAGAGTGTGTAAAGTCTTAATATAGTTAGAATATACCTCATTGGCTGTTTCTGTCTTCCACAGAATGCCAACTGCAATCTTAAAGATGATAGGAATTTAGTTAACTAAAAATTATTTGTGATTGACAAATTCACAGGGCGTGGTTTTATGGTCATGTATCTTCCAAATACATACAGAGATTGTTCAAATAGTTTCTTCTAGAATCTTTCTTAGGAAAATTGGGTGGGCAGTTTTCCTTGTCTCTACTTCTTCCTCTGAAAGATAGTTACTGTGTTGACAGCAAAAAGTAATCAATGAACAATTTACCACATCAAAAGGCAAGCATGTGTTAGTGCTGAAAGAAGTATCAGATATACAGATTAATTAGGAAACCTTCTCTTCTGAAGGAAGAACTTATATTGTGTGATTGTTTTACTATTTTTTAGTTATTTTTTATTAGAAGACTACACTTAAAGCAATAATCTACTTTTTTCCAGAATTTGTAGGCATGTGCAGCAGCAAATGGGATATTTAGGTAGCTACTGCAAAGCAAAATCATGTCATTAACAATTAGTTCCTATTATTTGTTAATGCTTTCTTATTATAATTTATGTTGCTTTAGGAATATCATTACATATTACATATAGAACATCATCCACTTTGGCTCTCAAAAATACCTTCTTATTCTAGGTAAATCCTTTCAAGATATTCTGCAACTGTAATTGTCTTAATCTTTTGGTTTGTATGTGTTACTCTAGTTTATGTAGTCGTGCAATAGTTCTCTTCTTGCTTATCTTCACTTCCAAAATCCTTCAAAGCTTGTTGTCTCCTTGTTTACTCTCTCAGTAAGTATCATGAAATCAAACATGCTGCTGGCTTCATTTTCAAACAATTTTTGTGATATTTTCTCCCTGCCTGTCCCTCATAGTTGGGAAAAGTAAGCTTCCATGAAGTTGTCCTGCTACCTTCACTCAAATTATACATTTAAACAATACTTTGCTATGGTGACTACAAAATCTTGACAATAGGTAGGATGCCCGCTAGCTGGAAACACTGTCTACTGTGCTGACTGCCCAATGATTTCATTGTGCTCTCTCTATCCTCCTTTCAAACCTTTTGACTCCCATCTCACTCTTGGATTACAGACTGGCACAATGTCCATTCTTATGTTTTATCTGTGCATGGCACAGAGCATATTGAGATGTATTTGTGGAGAACAGAATGGAGTGAATCGTCCTGAGTTCATAGTTCATAGAACTGAATTAGCCTCAGATTATCATCCTCAATGTAAAATACTGAATCATCTTGAAGGGTTTCTGTTTTGGATTTGTGCTCATCAAGACTTCTGGTATGTTTTTCATTATAAATAAGGATATACACTTCCGTGAACTTTTTCAACTGTAAATTGCAGTTCGTTTTAAATCTCTGTTGATTCTACTTGAATACAGTGCTTTCCCAGTGTCTGACATGAATGCTCAATGATGATAACTAACTAAATTTACTCCAAAGTGCCAGATTAGTTTCAGTAAAGTGGTTTAAATTAACATCACTATGTGAATCTGCACATTGTAGCATACATAAACTTGGTTCTTTCTCATTGCAGGTCACAGTGCTGTTGACATTACCAAGGTAGCAAGAAGACACCGCATGTCTCCATTCCCATTGACATCTATGGACAAGGCCTTCATCACAGTTCTGGAGATGACCCCAGTGCTTGGAACAGAAATCATCAATTACAGAGGTATTTTAAGTTGGATATTTTGTGAGGATTAGGGTGATTATTTCCATATTTGACAACTTTCTCTTTTACTAATTTTGTGAGGTATATGAAACAGTACTTTCTCCAGGAGAAGCTGCTTTAGAAAATGCCAATAATATAGGAAATCTCCTTTCAAAGTAAGGAGAATGTCAACTGACCTCAGTTTTCCTCCCTGAAGGAGTCTGTAATGGAACTCTAATAAAATGTGTAAATGAATTTTCTTCTGGTTTGTGTTATATGCAGCAAACATATTATACTCAACCATAATTTGCCTCAGTGGTTAAGACTGGACTTTTGTACATGCCAAGTAGCTCCAAGTTGTACGGTGATTGGCTTACTCTGTTCTTTTACTATGGGAGATTCTCACTGAGCCCCTTTCCAATCTGATTAATGATCAAAGGAAAGTGATTATTGATTCCAGGTCACTTTTTTCCATGTCTGTATCTTTAACAGTTCGTCTCAGTCTGTTTTTCCAGTTTCTACTTAGCCTACTACACATTCCAGAATTTTCCCCTTCTTCTCATAAACATGACAATTCCTTTTCTATTCTACCACTACATTTGATCATTTTCTTACTTCCTTTTAATGTTTGATTTATCAAAACTTTGTAATTAAAGGGTAACTGGTTTTGATTTATACAGTCTTTATAATAAACAAAGACACCAAACAGCAGGCAAAATATCAGACTTTGTGACTGTGCCTATACTCATAAGTAAGTAGGGATAGGTGAAGCCATTTTCTGGCCTTAAAAGGAATTAGCAGGGCACCTCTCATGTTTATTCAGCTAAACTATCCTCCCTCCTGAAACAGGGTGTTCCTAATGCCTATTAGGTGCTTCCCTTGCTTCTGCTATCCCTTACACCAAGCCTAGCCATTATCTGGGAGAATGTTCTTGGCGCAAAACCGTGACTGGAAGCATGCTGACAAGTAAAACGAAAGTAGGTAGGGGAGAGGAAACCTCCTCCAGGGATTCTTCCAGATTGTCCAAAGGTAAGGTAGTGAGCAAAGAGATAGTGGAACTATGAGCCTCAAGAGGTAAACGGTTTAGGACATTGGTGGACTGCAGATAGCAGAGGGGTCCACATGATTTCTGAATGGAATGTTCTGTCTTCTGGCTTGAAAGTTCAAAGTTTTCATACTCTTCACCAAATCTTTGTGCTGCCACAAACTTTCAAGATGTCTTCATATTGACATACTGATTTAGCAGACTGTATTATCACACCTGTTAGCTTCAGAGACAGAGTCTGATTTCATGTTCACATAAGTGTACCAATAATGAAGATATTAACAAAGACATATTCCTTCATATTTTTGCAGTGTAGTGCAAAATTGTATCTCACAATTTATTTTTCAAGAAGTATACACTTTTTTTGGCACTGTAAGATTTTCAAGTATATCATATGAAATTTCAGGATTTAGCCTATAGGAGACATCCTAGTGGATATATCTGTGTCTGTGATACTGCAAATTCAGTTCCCTTAATCTATGGATAAAAATCTCAAGATGAAAACTCATTTTCAGAAGTTCTTAAGTGATCACCATAATGTTATACAGAAAAGTATATAGGATTGTTTTGTATAGGCACATATGTGTGTGTGTGTGTATGTGTGCATGTGTGCATGTGTGCACACACACGTATGGTTGATGTTAATTTTGAAGAATGCAATGAGTTAAGATTGAGTTTTTCATTTAGTTATGGATTCATTTATTTTTCAGTTCATATACCTCTAATTTTGGAAAATAATAAAAATGTAGTCCTGGAGGTCTTAAACTGTACTCAGAAAAGCACTGTTGTGCTGTGTTTGTTTTCTGTGTGTTTTTGTGTCTTGAATTAACACTGAACTCCTCAAAACTATCTTTTAGGAGCACAATCTCTCTGTAAGAAAAGTGAAGTGTATAAAGTTCTAGGATTGCAAATTGCCGAATTAATTTAACCTGATTCAGTTACATTACTAAACATAGTGTATAGCATTCATCCTTATAAATAAAGCTGCCAAATGTTATTCTGTACAAATAGTCAGTAAAGTCCTGATTTTATTCTTGATTAAGTCAAAGTATGCTGCAGTCTCTCAAATCTATCTATTCTCTCCTAACATGAGGGGGAGGATAAGTAAAGTTATCTTTTAAACATGACTTTCACACTGGTAAATTGCTCAGTGACTCAATAGATCATTTAACCTCTTTCATATTAAAATAAAAAATGGACAGTCCTAAAACATTTTACAGAACTGCCATAAACCAAAGGCATCTGAAGCATATTTCCCATCTGCTATCATTGATATCTGGTATGAAGCCCCCAATTAGCCTTTTATTTCAACTAAATTTAGTTACCTGAGCATAGCTCTGTACACATATAAGCCTTTAGACAACATGATTATGATTATTCTTCTGAAACTAAGAAGATACATTTAAGTTCAATTGATAATAAAAGTGCAATGCAGAAGCAATCTACACTTTTTGAGCTTAAGCATAAGCTTAAGCCTGAGAACAGAGCAGGTCTAGTCCAAGAGCCTAGCTGATTTTTTTGATAGCATTGACTTTTCATATCACAGTGAAGTGCTACCAGGGCAGTATTCACAAAATCCATCACCTTTAGTACAAGATCTGTCTATTTGCTGTGCCCCAGTATCAATACCCTGAGAAACCAAAGTTCTTTGCAGAACTGTACCAGTGCCATCACCTAAGCTTTAGCAAATAGCCACATTTGGAAAGTGAGTTTAATGTAGTTCTCCATTTTGTGTTAAAAGCTGTGGGCATCACAAGGGGTAGTTTGATGACATTAAAATAATTCAGAACATCTTTTTGAATTACAATTAATCAAAATAAGGTCAAACTGTATTTTTAGAATAGTTGCTTAAGTAAAAGAGGGTACAGAGGTACTTCAGATTGTCCAAGTTGCTGACTTGCTTCATTTTTAAATGCCTGAGGCTGCTTCACCAAGTAATTCTAACATTTTTCTCCCTGTAATAAAATTCATTCCCATTACTGGCTGGCCATTTATTCCTTTCTTGGCATTCTGCCAAGAACATACTGTTCAACTTTGCTCTAATTGGTGTGATTTTGCATGCAGACAAGAAGCAAAAGGAAGACACAACATGCCTGCTAAAATTAGAAGCATCACTTTTGTATGAGATTTCGTGCATCTTGGAACAAAGGGTGTTTTTACTAGGCCTTTGATAGCTGCCTTTTCTGTGCTTTATTTTAAATGTCTCTTTCCGCATTCTTTTATTCAGTGTAAGTGTACGAGCTTTTGTGAGCTTTTAATAACTTGTATATTGTGTATCACAGGCAGTGATACGCCGTAATGCACAGGTGAATTAATGTCCATCACAAAGGTGCTTTTTTAGTTGCTTTAACAGGTTTTATCAGCATTTTCATGGCAATACTTATTTCAGAAATGCAGCGTGAGTATTAAATTCAGGCTGAAAGTTAATACATATGGATGTGAACACAATGATGTTATAGTTATGATAATTAATTGCTAGCTAAATCACTTTGTGTTAATACATAAAATCTTCATTATAATAGCACTTCACTGGAGCTGAACACTTTCAAATCGAGTAGGTACACTTTTTAACAAAACCTGTCCATTTAGTGTGCAGTGTTAAGCCTTCTGCCTTCCCAAGGAATCCAGAACCACATTGACTTCCCTGTCTGTAAAATAAGAAACATACTTCATGCATGTCTCTTTTTTGGCGTGTCTCAAAGACCATAATCTCTAAAACACATATCCATGCAAATTCTCCTGGTTGAAATATTCATGCATCCTCTCATTCCTTCATACTTTCAGCTGGATATTGCCTTCCTGTGCACTGTAGGAACAGTGGCCTCTCTTATGAGCTGAGTTTCCCTTCTTCTAGTTAGACATACCGGAATCAAGCCGATCTCAGTAGTTCTGACCCGTATACCCCTTTCCAATCCATCTAATCACACATGTAACAAATATGCTTTTTTATGCTTACATTGTATGAACGGGTAAGTTACATATTTTCCGTTCTGTTCCACATTACACTAAAAAAAGGCTCTTGCTGGTGCCATAAAAGTACCAGCCACTTGACTGAGGGTGAAATAATTCATATCAATCTCTACAGGGAAGCTGAGCCAAATTACAACTTATCAGTCATAGTCACTAAGTGAAGGAAAAGGGTCTGTTTGAAACAGCTATTAAAATATTTAGAACTATAACACTGTAAATTTACATAAATAATCTTGACACTTACGTTCACTCACCCTCCATTAAGCAGAAATGCTTTCAGCAATTAGGCAAAGCTAATCTATTGCAAAACTTTTTTGTCAATTTATGAAAACTTGTCCATTGTTACTGATGAGTCCTCAATCCATCACCTCTCACCTTTTGCACACAAGATTAATTTCTGAAATGTCATTTTAAAAGCTTTTTTAAAAAATTTTTATAAAAATTTAAATAAAGGAAAATACATAATTTTAAAAGATCTCAGGAGAAAAACTTGACTTAAAGAAGCAAATACTTGTTTTTTCTGTCTGACCCTACATCAGAGCTTTTATCTAAACCTTTGGGTTTGGATACTTGGCATTCAAATCTACTGTCAGCAATTTAACCATAACCAGGAGCACAGACTTATTGAACAAATCCTTTATCAGTACTTTCAGACTCCAGTCTTTTTTCTTTTATGTAGAGGCAAAAATCAAAAGCCTGAGAGATCTGTGTGTCCCATACATACACATTTCACCTATCGGAGCACATGGCTGTTAACTTTTTTCCCCCTTTCACTAGCTGTAATGACATGGAGCATGGTCTTTTCTCTTTTCTAGATGGAATGGGCCGAGTCCTTGCTCAAGATGTATATGCAAAAGATAATCTACCACCATTTCCAGCATCAGTAAAAGATGGCTACGCTGTCAGAGGTAAACACTCACTTTGTAGACAGTGTCTGGAAAACCACTTTATAACATGTTAGTTCACCTGTTTTGGATCCAGCAGTGGTTATTTTCCTTTAGATTTGATTCAGATCATTGCTGAAGTCACAGTTACATAGAATAAGACTGTCTTGAAGGAAGGCCATAAAGCTGAGTTCAGATCTTTTAAGTGGATGCTTATGTCCACAAGCAAATGTACATCCATGTGTGCTCACAGACGTGCAACTCTGTTACTAGTGCATTTCTTGCATTTTCTTAAGAATTCAGAAGATTAATGGAACATCTGTATTCTTCTGTTGTTGATTTAATGGGGATTTTCTTACATATCTGTTACTTTCTTGAACTGTTACAGATCCAACTTCCTATTAGTGAATATTTTATTGATTGCATTAGAGAATTTTTGAAAAAACTTACAAGAATGTTCTTTTATGGACACACCTCAAAAGAAGAACTGATTTTTACTTTAAAAATATTGCAGCTGCCATATATGACCCTGAGATTAGCTCAATTGGTTAGAACATGGTGATAATAACACTAAGGTTTTGGGTTCAATGTCTGTATGGGCCACTTACTTAAGAGCTGAACTCGACGATCCTTGTGGGTCCCTTCCAACTCAGAATATTTGGTGAAGTGTTCTGTGAAAATGAGTAGTGTGACTTTACTCATTGCAAGCAGTGAATGTGGTTTCCCAGGAGACCTGAATTCATACTGTGCTTTGCCACAAAGTGCTACATCATTCTGAGCCAGTTGCTTCTCTGTGCATCAGTTTGTTTCTTTGTAAAGTAACACTAATGATGCTCACCTCAGATATCTATGAAGAAAATTTAAAATATACAAGATTGAACATTATAATAGTGGTGATTTAATTGTGGTAGCAGTCAAATTGTTGTAACACCATGTTGAAATTTGTACACAATACCAAACTTCCTTCTGGGGACATTAAAATATCCTTTTTGTTGCTGGCAGCTGAAACAATGGAAAGCAACTGTCCATGAAATAGTCTGAAAACATAGGCAATGGATGTAGTCCAATAGCTTCCGCTATAAAATTTCAGGTCTACAAGATGAGTTTGCAGCTGTCTGTGGTCTATGTGTGAGAGACAGGCAGACCAAAATGGGGGTGCAGATGTAGCCAGAGAAATACAGGTTATGTGACACTGAAAAAAGCTAAGAGGGTGAGCTCTGAGTAGAACACTGAGTGACAAGGGCCTTGGGATCAAGCAAATGCTGTCTTGCAACCTGATTGCTGCGGGGTAAGGGAAAGCACAAGTACAATCTGAGTAAACATGCAGAATGAACAGAATGATCATGAACACTGTCTTCAACAGCTTCTGTCAGAAGCAACACACAAGACCATAATTTTTGCGGTGGATTCAAGTAGAGTAACACTGAAATATTTGTGTGTCCAGAGCTGAGTGAAAGGACTGGAAGAAGTGTCCTATGAGGAGCAGCTGAGGACTTTGGGTTTGTCTAGTTTGAAGAAAAGGAGGCTCAGAGGTGACCTCACAGCTTTCTACAGCTTCCTGAGGAGGGGAGTGGGAGGTGTTGATCTCTTCTCGCTGGTGTCCAGTGACAGGATGTGTGGGAATAGTTCAAAGCTGTGCCAGGGGAGCTTTAGACTTGACATTGGGAAACAGTTCTTTACCAAGAGGGTAGTCAAACACTGGAAAAGAATTTCTAGAGGGTGGGTTGATGCCCCAAGCCTGTCTGTGTTTCAAAGGCATTTTAACAATTCCCTTAATTATTTGCTTTATCTTTTGGTCAGTCCTGAATTGATCAGGCAGTTATATTCTATTCTGTTTTTTTCTATTCTTTTTGTTCTCGTTATCTTAGGATATGAAAAAAAACGCTTGTAGGCAGAGACAATATCAAATACAATATTAACTATTGGATATTTCTTACCAAAAAATTAAGGATTAGCTTTCAGTGACATAAACCTGTCTGCCCAAAACCTTGTCCTTTTTTCAAGTTATGTCAGTTGTACATCATCTACAAACTTTGTCTTCGTATTATTACCAGTGGGGAAATAAAATCTAATTCAGTAGTATTTTATCAGATTTTAAAAAATTTTGCTGTTAGGGATTTCCTTCTCTTCTTTTGCTGGATCATCCAAGTACATTTTTTCAGTGAAGGTCTGACAACTGTTTTCACTAGTATTAAATGCATTATTCAAGGACAACTAGTTGAAAAGTGCTTTTCTACTTTCTTATTTTAGATTTTGTTCTAAAGCTCATAGATTAGTATGTTTGATAGGCTTTTAAAGTTACGTTAATTATTAGTCTTCAAACATGACTAAGTGCCATAGATAATTATCTGCAAGCTGCAGCCAGTGCCTGAGTACAAATGTGATAAATCATTATGCAGACTGAATGGGCATCCTTCCTGAAAGCAGTTCTTCTCAATATAAGGTTATCTAGGTGTATATTCAGGGCTCTTGAAGTAAAACAGAAGGTATTAAGATAACGGTTGTCACCGATTAGACTTCATCTCTGGTAAATCAACTTTTGACAGCTACAGATTTAAAATTAATAAGAATACATATTTAAGTGTGATCATATGAACCTGGGTTTTCTGACCACTCTTGGTAGCATGACAGCTGTGCTTAGAAAGCCAGAGTTGCTTGTGCTTCATACATGCTTTACATCATGGTAAAGCCTATAATACCATGAATGCAACTTGCTGAAAGACCTTTGAGGCAGTCAGGAGTTTAAATTTCATAAGTAATAGTGCCTTTTTTGTCTCTGTAAAAGTACAGATTTGCTAAATTGGAAGTCCTGGAGACTTGTTAAATCAGTGATCTCTGACTCCTAATTTTCAGTGTTGCTTCAATGAGAAGTGCAAGGTAGCTAGATCAGTGCTAATCTGAAGTTACAGAAAGAAACAGGACTCAAAGTTCTAATGTGTCAGTCCAGATTGCATTATCTTAGCCCTATTCCTCTTCACGACTGCGTGGTCATCTATGCAGTCTGTAATCATTGCACTTTTCCATATTTTCCTTCCAAGATAGAGATAGAATCTAGAAATGTCAATATTCCATTGTTGTCTAGAAAAAGAAGTGCATAATACATTTGCAAAACATATGATTCCCCTGTGTTGCTTTCACTTAAAAAAGATTTTCTCACGGTGGAAATTTTTATAAAAATAATCTCATGAACACTCTTAAATCTTTGTTATTAATGTAATTCCTCCTAATCTTCATTTACTTGACCCCATTTTGCCCAGAAAATTTCAGTTAAAAATACTCTGTTTTCTAGAACCTGTAATTTTCAAAATTATAAATACAACTCAAAGGACCTAAAATGTAAAATGTTTTCAGAACTTCTATAACCTTAGTCATGCTGAAACTGAAGAACCGAATCTTAAATCATCTTTATTTCTCCCATTCTTAATTCATAATGTCATCATTTGTTTTGGTTCATCTTTTACCATTTGTATTGTCCGTCTTAACAGCTGCTGATGGCCCAGGAGATCGATTCATCATAGGGGAATCCCAGGCCGGTGAGCAGGTGAGCACAATTTCTTTTTTCTTACTTTTTTATGTATTTTTCTGCTGTAAGATTTTGCTTTGTCTTTTTACAAGTGTTCCTAGTGCTCCAAAATTCAGTATTCTTGGATGTGGCGTGAACTAGGACACAGCTGTACCGACCCTCCTGCTATGTGCCTTGGGACATGATTTCAGAAAGTGAGGTAGTACAGTTATGTAAGGAACTAACAAGGATATCCCAAAATACTTCAGAGCATTGTGCTGACATGTCTGATAGGAGTGCATAGAATAATGGTCTGCCCTAGTACAATGTTTGGGGACATAAGATTTCTAGTGGCTGAACTATTCATAAACAAAGAAAAGCCTAATTTAACCTCTTCTTGCTGACAGATTTTTAAAGGGTGTCAGCCCAATAACTGTTTCCATAAGATGCTTGCATGTTCCACACTGATACCTGCAAAATGAAGTGTAAAAATTTAGCATGAAGTTTTTAAAGATAAATAATGATCAGAACAATCTTGAGGAAGCCTGGCAGCAGCCTTGTTTGAGACTGGTTTGAGAAGAGTGTTTGTGCACCTGAGCAGATGTGTGGATTGATTTTAAGAGCAAGTTGAGGCAGGACCCATTTGTAACCTGCTGTGCTCTACAAATATACATATATAGACACAATTTGTAATTTACTCTCAAACTCAAGACTACATTTCATGAAATTCCTGTATTAATACTGGGGTAATACGAAAAAAATCAGTTACGTTCAACCACTGTTATTCTGTCAATTTAATCCTACCTGCCACCTTCTGTTTAGGAAAGCAGAAGTTAATCTAAAATATTTCTCCAGCTATTTCAAGTCCCCGTTTATAATTCTGTGTGTTGTATGTGAAATGATGGAGAAAGGGGAAAAGTAGAAGGCAAAACAAAGGATTGATTGGTTTTAATGAGGATTTTAGTGTGTCCATTTTGACTTCTAAACAAAAAAAATCCAAGTAGAATTGACATATTTCAAAAGTTGTGTCAGGTTTTAGAAGTATTACCAGTTGCAGGATTATTCAGGTTCTAAATGTGTAACAGACTTTTAATTTGGCTAATCATGACAGATACAGAGAACTGTGAAAATTATTTTTGCTTTAAGTCCCATCCATCATCATGAATTATACTTTGGTATAACAAACACCTTCTCAATACTGATATTCATGTGAACTTGGATTAATGAATCTGTAGTACAAAATATGTAAAAACTACTTTAAATACTTTAAAAAAAAAAAAAAGGGGCAAACTAATGAATTCAGAATTTTTTTAACCTGCCTTGTATTTTTAGCCTTTTTTGACTGCATTTTCAAGCATTAGTCCAGAAACCCTTTCTATGGACACTATAAAATAGTAAGAACCAGCAGAGCAACCCGCTGAATTATCACTCCTATCATTATTCCCCTGTCATCAATATTATCATTTTGCTAGTTAAATACCACAGCACAGTGTTGCTTGAAAGCAGTACTGTTGAAGCTGTCTCTAGTGGGAAGGACTGCCCATTAGAGGTCTAAAGTGTTTCAGTATCCTAATCAGTTCAGCAGGTTTGTACGAAAGATAAAAGGGCAAATGGGAACTTGCTTCCCTCCTAGAAAGTTTAAGAGCTCACAAATGTCTCTCTACAGGGACAGTCTGTCCTCCCAGATTACTGGGAATAGGAAGCCTCTCTGGCAAGGAACAAAAATTGGGTGGGAGGAGGCATGCAGAGAGAGCATATTTCTGGAAATACCAGTGGCAAGTTAGAAAAACAAGGCTGTTGACCTCTGAATAATTGGTCAAAGTTTTTTTCTTGGGCCAACGCATCTTCAGGTTCATCTCCTTCCCAAGAAATTATTTATAGCCTTGGAAGGCTCCTCAGTCTCATTTCACCCTTCAGCCACTGTCAGCAGCAACATTCTGCCTTTCATGTTACAGACCAATTAACAGAATGATTCACAGCAGGGAGTTCAAAATAGTTTTAGGTTTTGCTCCTCCTGTAGGGAAAAAGGTTATGTAAGTACTAAGTAGAAATGAAGAAAATGGGACTGAGAATTGCCATGAGGCCATATAGCCAAGTTGGACATTTCTGTATCAATTTTTAAATTATGTACTATTTTCTGAATTCCATTTCCAGGTGATCATGTTCATGTTAACAACCATTTTTTATTTTGTATCGAGGAAAACTTTCAGACACTATCCTGCTTTGGGAAGGTTAGGGCACACTTGAGATGACTAGTGATGAGCCATCGACATAGCCTTTGAAACAGATGGGGAAGATTGGTTTTCTTCCTATAGACTTACATAGTCAGAGCATAACATTTCCTGCAAGACTTTCTAAAGATGTTTGTAAGAGGCACTGTGACTAGCCAGTTACAATACAGGATGAAAAACAGACATTTTCCCTGGTTCCACTGACTTGGGCGTTTTTACAGAAAGGAGCATGGCTCATTGTAAATCACACAGGAGAGGTGTAATCGTGTGTAAGAGAAAATGCCTGAGATGGGGGCTGTGCTCAGTAGATTATCTCTGGGTTTTACTCAGTGACTAAAATTGAGTAGATTATCACTGATGAAGGCAGAGGGCAGAAACCAGTATTACCCTATTCCATGTAAAAGCGAGATCTCAAAGGCCTTTAAAAGAGCTTCTGTGAAATTGTTGTATATTAATTTCTAAGAAGCAATCATTTCTTTATCTTCATAGTCTCTAGCACAGAAGAACACAGCCCTGGAGATTCACACGCAAATCTGATGGTTGAATTTTGTTCATAAAGTTAATCTGATCAAATTCCCAGAGGACAAAAAGGAAATTAAATATATAAGCAACATAACCAATTCTAACAGCAATTGTTATTGTATCATAAATTTTTTTAAATGTATCACATCATTGCATCTCAAAAAGTTAACTCATCTAATAGTAAACTCCGAAAACACAGTTAGTTACAGCACATTTTATCACCATAGGCACTGATTTGTGGCAGTCAGTGTAGACATTTTATATTCTTTGTGGTGCTTTTTAAATGGGAGACATTTTTTATGTAATACATCGTTCCTCTGAAATTTGTCACCAAAGTCAGCAATACTTAGTTCAAAACAATATAACGTATTTGTAATAAATCTTTAGATTGTATCTACAACAATATGCAGAAGAGCTCCCATAATCCAAGGCATAAACTTTGCCTTTTGCAACATTTCGTTTCATAAAAATCAAAATAACACACTAGACAACATTATTTTCCCTTTTAAGCAGCCTCAGAATAAATGGTAGTATCTGCTATCCATCCACAGCTCCTTGCATAGTCTGTGGTGGGAAATAAATACTATTTTTAAAAAGTAGTATTTTTATGTCATCTAGTTTGGATATCTACTTTAGGATAGCATGAATCTTGCCCTAAAAACACACTAACCGTGACATATGGCAAGTGTGATTTTTTTTTAAATTTATTTTAGCATTTGATTTATGTTCTTGAAGGATGTTAGATTTACATTGCCTGTAGAAAAGGGTCAAGATTCAATCAGCTCCAGGCTCAGTTGTTTCTTGGGATACATAGGTCACTGTGAACTGTGGTAAGCCAGGTACAGACCATTCTAAGTAATACCTTTCAGAGGTCATGACGGAGCTAAAGTGGAGTAGAAAAACGGGCAAGGCAAACAGCTTTATGCAGCTGAAGTGTTGGCCAGCGGTCTAGAGTTTGCAGGTGTCAACAGCCTCCTGTCAAAAGTCATGGAGTAAAAGACTGCTGGGCAGGACAGGTAACAGTGCTTGGGCAGTACTGCCTGCAGGCCTGTGGGCTGCTGTCAAATATGTGCTAATCACAGTTTGAGAAGACCTGGATGTATTCCAATGCTGCATATGGAGTATAGAGTCAATCTGCACATGAATTATATGTGTGACACATACAGAATATGTTGCTTTGATCACAGCTGTGTAGATATGTGTGTAGCACATGTTCACTAATAACAGTAAAGCTTAAATAAGTCAGGCTTACTTACAGTGCCATGGGGAGCCAGCAGTACCATCATCATATCAGCTTCTTTAAATGCATTTTTTTAGAAATTTTTCTTTTAGTTATTTATTTATTAAGTAGTTATTGTCAAATTACAGTTTTACTCTGGATTTTTAAAAGTGTATGTTAAAGTAGTCTGCCTGGTAAGAAATATTATTAAAAACAAGTCATTTGTTTTATCATGTTGTTCTGATATTTTTCTATTCTTTGTATTGCTTCTGCTGAAATTTTTTAATGTTCTGTGACTTCATGTAATTGTAGAACATTATCAATTTTATGCTCTGCTAAACTGACCCTGACAAAGATAGATATTCTCTGTGAACTAGTATTGAACTGTCTCTCAGTGTGAAGAAATCTGCTTAAAAATGAAGCAACTGGTTACATTACTATGCTTATAAGCTGTTGGTTTTCCATATACAGTGTGCTGGTAAAACAAAACAGACCAAAAATCCAACCAAACCAAAGCACATAAATTTCAACCCTGGGGACTAGACTACTCTACGAAACATATATTCACAGAGAATTACTAGATTTTTGCACATCTAAGTTTCGAGGAGGAATCTAACCGCTAAGTTTCTAAGCCAGTTTTTTTTCTGAGCCAATCAGAGTATCAGTCTCTTGCTTCTTCTGAAAGTTATTCTTGCGATAGAAATCTAAGGGGAAAAAACTGAAGCCACCTAATATGTCACCACATAAATAAAACCAGATGTGAAGCAAAGACCTAATGATCTTTAAATACATTGGAGTTTATTATACCTGTTGATATCACTCGCAGCATAGCAAGAGTCATGCTGCAAGTGAAAATTCTAGTCTTTCAGATTATTTGCATAAAATTCCAGTGGTTTGAAAGTGTTCTTTTCAGAAGTAGATTAGTTTCTGGTTTTTTGTTTTTCAGCCAACACAGACTGTGATGCCTGGTCAGGTAATGCGCGTTACAACCGGTGCTCCAATTCCATGCGGTGCTGATGCAGTGGTGCAAGTGGAAGATACAGAGCTCATCAGGGAATCAGATGATGTGAGTCACAAGTTAAAAACCTCATTTTTCTTTTGCGTTCAGCAGAAAATGGCTCATGATAAAATCCTGTAAATATGAAAGATTGTTCTAAGAAAAGCTCTTCAATAATCTCAGAAGTTTAAAGATTTTTGCATGGGTTCCTAGTGGCAATTCTCACTTTTTCAGGCTGTGATAAAAGTGTCACAGACCTACCCGTTCTGACTGATTTTTCATCAAAAAATGCTGACACCAAAACACTTGGGAGCATGATTTGAGTGAAAGGTAAATGCCTTCTGGAGATCCATGACTACAGTCCAATTTGAGTGCCTCCTGTATTCACATTTTAAAATACAGAGTAGTGACAACCTCACCAAGCAAGAAGGGGAAAAGTTTTCTTAAATTACATATTGATCCCAGAATAATACATTGAAATATTACAGTGCAGCATTACTGCTGATGTAATTAAAGCTGAATATGATTTTCTGTGGGAAAGTGAACTGTTTTAAGTGCTGCAAAATCCATGGGATGACTTCATTTCTTTTAAACTATGTTATGAAGATAATTCTGTATTATCAGAATTGATCTTATTTCAACAAAGATGAATTTGGTGGATTTGGAAAATGTCTTGTACGCATACCTTCCAAGGCATCCAAGGGATTTTCTTATGAAACAGGGGAAGTAAGTGCCTCCCAAATTTTTTTAAACCACAACTATTTTTTTTAAATAGACCTTTGGACTCCTTTAAAATGAGAAAATTGCTAAATTTAAGACCTCTGGAAATGGAGGAAAATCTTCAGGAAGTGGGTAAGGTGCATATGCCCCCAGAATGTAAACTTAACTCTGTTTGACTTGAACAGATTTTCCAGCATACCTGTAAATCATATTAGTGCACTACCTTACAGATGCTGCAAAATACCACAGAAAAAATATGTAGTACTAGTTCTGTATGCACAGTTGTCTTAACAAAGGAAATTGTGCTTTTTACAAAACACAGGAGCTCTCTATAAACACCTTTATTGCAAAGAGTCTGTCTTGGACTTCCTTTGTGTCCAGAGAATTCTTTCTGAATCATTACTTTCACTTACCCAGCTGTGACTTCAGGATACCATCATCACGTTTGCTGCCCTCTGAGAGATTTTAAGGCAAGAAGATACGTCTCTTATTGATACAACTTCCAAGTTCAGTTTTGGAATGAACTATGTGTACGGTTCTCTGCTCAAATCAGTCTTTGCTCTTCTGCTGCTGTTCTGACAAGGTGTTCCATTTCACCATAGCTCTGTGCTGTCTTTTGATTGCAGCCAGGCTATAAGCAGGTGAATTCTAGTGTTCAGAGCTGATGAAGACAGCAAAAACTGAAACATACTCTCATGATCCTTTCTCATGCCTTATTACTATAAACGTGTAGTATATATGTATAGTATAAATATAGTATATATCTAATGAACTCAGCAAGCTGTCTAGGCTGTCCTTCCTGTCAGAGAAATTATCGAGTCAGTCCTGCTCTGAGGTTACAGATGTGTATGTATTATATCATCCTGTAAAGTACACCATTGCCTTCACTGCTTATTACTCGTTCCATTAGCCTTAGTGAGCAAGTTTTTTGTGGCCATTGCCCACCTCATCATGAGAGGACTATCACATTGCAGAGCAACGTATATGATAACCTGGTATTTTCTACTTCTTTGGACGTCTCTGTCCTGCCTTCCACTTCTTATGTACGTATTCTCCTCTGCATGTGAGAACAGGTTATCTGGCTACGTGCTTAAACTCGGAATTTTTTCTCGAATGGTCAGCCACTTTCAACTTCTTTTTTCTGCCTCTAAGTGTGAGGTAGAATTCTTCAGTTTCAGCTTGTCTTTGAATATGCCACTCTGCTAATCCTGCTCATAATAATTAGTACAGTTTAATTAATATGTTATTTTTTTCTCTCCCTTTTCACGTCTGGGTGGCTTCACCAAGAATATTTTTCTTTTTAGTGTTAAGAACTCCTTCAGGGCTGGGATTTAACTGAAATTAAATCTCTAATATTTAAAAAATGTTCTTATGAAAAGAGATTATTTTTAAAAGGAACTCACTCCTTGACTTCTGGTTGTGGTACCAGTACTTAAATTTCATAGCAAGCTTTCCCCAAATGACTGTAGAAGTCATAGGCTTGAAAGTAATTACAGTTATCCGTCAGGAAGAAAAATTCTCATCAGCTTGCCAAATGCACAATAATTGAGAAACATATCTATGTCCTTTTCATTTTGAGTTTTTATGTCACCTTGTAGGAGAAAGGAGTCCAGTGTGATCAACCAAAAAAAGACCAAGCATCACATATGGATGCTGACTGTTAACAACCATCAGAACAAACCACTCAGACATAGTTCAAAATATATTAATACACAGCAAGAAGAAAGCTGCCTGGCACACACCAAATGAACGATGTTCTCAGCAAAATGCCATACCTCTCTACAAGCCCTATCTTTAGCCACCTTGAGTTGTCTCATATTCCTTAAGGATTCTCAGATATCCATCAGTTCCATAAGTAACAGTCTCTGCACGTCAACATGTTGTCCACAGTCACACTTTCCATGGTGCTTTTCAAACCTGGGATTACTGAATTCCTCAGAAGCCTTTATTTTCTTGTTTCCCCTTATCCAGGAGTCCTAAATAGGACCTTTTATATTACTCAAATGTATCATTGGCTCTCCTCTTGATTCCCTTAAAATCTTCCTATCTGTCTTTAAATGTTATCAAAGATATGGAAATTTCAAATCTTCATGACTGGACAACCATTCCAGAGTGTCATAAAAATAAAATCATTCTTGGACTAACCATTGCCCCAAATTTTTATCAGGAGCTTTTACAGCCTCAGATGGCAATAAGGGGGATAAAGGGCCATCCTGGGCACCAGCACGCCATTTTGAACACTCAGAGCCAAAAATCATCTCTTCTCTTATGCAAGAAGAGCAGGTTTAAAGAAACAGAATTTACAATAAAAGCATATTTTGAAAATATTGGGATAAAGTAAGAATTTTTTAAATTAGTAATTTTCTGGCTTTCAGGGGTTTAAATTTTCACAGTAGGTAAGCAGAATCACAATCTATATTAAAAGATTTATTAACTTTAACTTTGGGTCCTTAAGTTTAAAGTTTGAACTCAGAAAATGCTGGCCAGTCCCAGTGTCCTATACAACACTATTGTTCCTGTAGAAATTCTAAATGACCCTGACATGCTTAGTTTATCTTGTAATATTAGTGTCTGATTTATAACTTTGAGGTATTTAAATATGAAGCACTACATGATAATGTAAAAACAAAATCTGTTTAGATTTAGTGCTACTGACAGGCTGGCACTATCTCAAAGCTGAGTGTATATATCATCAACCCACTTGCAGGGCTTAAAATTAAATATTAACAATATAGGTCATATGCCATTTATTGGTATTGAATGAATCACCAGACCATTGACATTCTGAAGAAGAAACTGCATCAGACTTTTCAGGCCACTGTCTCTGGTTCACAGTAAATAAACAAGATAAATAAGCCTCTTTCTGATTTGTACAAGGCTCTCAAATAGGAGTTTCCACTACAGGAATCTACATGAAAATCCTGAAAGAGCTAAATCATTTAGCTTCTTCCCACCTTTCTGCTAACATAGTCTATCTGCTAACATATTGTCTATCAGACTAATGGTCCTTTTGAAGTATCATCTTTGAAATTGTTCAACCAGATCAAGTTGGCTGAGAGGAGTAGAAAGAATCCACTCAGTATACCGAATCACCAGACATAGAATGTAGAGTAGGAAAGATATATAAACGCAAGTATCATTAAAAAAAAAAGGAAGCTAAAACTACATATTCAGTGCTGGCCCTTCCATGGTGAGCTCATTAAAGAGAGAATTTCTTATAATGCTGTTCAGTTTTAGCATACATTGTATTACAGTCTTGACAGACAAATCAGGAGAGCAATATGATGCTTAAACCATAAAGTCTCAGTGTAATGAGTGCTTTAAGCTGTGTAGACTTGTGAGAAATTAAACATTAATCTTCTTTGAATAGCTCAGCTAACTCTATTTGATGTCCTTGTCTTTGTAGGGCACTGAAGAACTAGAGGTTCGAATCCTGGTGCAAGCTCGACCAGGCCAAGATATCAGGTCTGTATTTGTAAACGATAAAATATCTCTGTAAGGAATAGAAGGGCTATTGATTTTTAAGGTCATTTTCTAATGAGTAGTACAGATATTTTGACAATCTGACTAATGGACATCCATGGACACTCCTCACCTGGAGCAAGACCAATCAAGGAAAGATACTTTGAATCTCATTCTGTTTCTCTTTCATTTTTTTTTTTTCTGTGCTATGATTTTCAGACCTATAGGACATGACATTAAAAGAGGTGAATGTGTGCTGGCTAAAGGAACCCACATGGGTCCATCTGAGATTGGTCTCTTAGCAACTGTTGGAGTAACCGAAGTAGAAGTTAACAAGTTTCCAGTGGTTGCAGTAATGTCAACAGGGAATGAGGTAAAAAAAGTTTGTTTAGAATTATGGTCTGAAATACTATGTCTTCTTTGGGACAGTGTTTTGGATAGTGACTTCCACCCTATTCCCAAGCAAACTCACTTTTTGAACTGCAGTTCGTGGTGACATGAGATACTTCTGTGGGGGATCAACCCATGATCAGCTGCTTGTGTTTTCTCCCTCAAAGGCTCTCTCACAGGTCTCACCCACTATCTTTGCCAAAATTTTGATAATGTATCCAACCATCTGCCAACTGCTTTCCTCCTGCCAGCAAGGGAAAACCAGTGGAGTAGTCAGGGTTTTAATTCATACTGCCAGTCATGACTGAAGAGTAGTTTCTTTTGAGCAGCACTCCTCTGTAGCTGTAGTGCAAATGGCAGATAACCTGTCTTTGAAAACTGAATAGTACTACCAAATGCCTTGCTGTAGTATTGTGCCTTAATATTTTTTCTGATAGTAGCTTATGTTGAAATTCAGACTCCCTCCTGTTGATAGAACTCCAGACCAGCTTTCTAATTGGTTTGTCTTAACTACATCAGAAAAATCAGGTTCAAGATTAACTTAATTTACTGCTTTTACATATGTTGTGTGTTGACCCAGGCCAGCAACTGTGCCTGCTCAATCCTTCCCGCAGCAGGGCAGAGAAAGAAGAGCAAAACCAAAACAACATGTGGGTTGAGATAAAGTCAGCTTGAAGTTTAAAGACAGCATGAAGTTTTGACTGTCCTTTGAGACAAACTTTTGGAAATACAGACGCAAACATTAAGTCAATAGCTGTATTCTCATACAGCTGGAATATATTGAATTTTGAAAGATTTTGAAAACTTCTAATATATTGAATTTTGTCATCTGGCCGTGTCCTTACAACTTCCACAACCCCAGTGAAGGTGACTTCTAGGTACTGTGGGTGGCTGAGGCCAGCTTTGCTGGGACAGAATCTTGTCAGGTTTTGTAGCATAGAGAGGGTGTGGCATGCAGGAAACATATGGCTAACTAAAGAACGAATCCACAGAGCTACAAGGATTAGAGATGAGTTGATGATTTACTGATTAGTAACTTCTGTATGATTGTAGATTCTTATATGTCATTAAAGAGTCCTTTATCTTGTGGACATTCTCTTTTGTTTCATGTTAAAAAAGATCCTGCACAGTGGGTTTCTTAAACATTCTGTGAAAGTCTGCACAGAAACAGAGCTGCTAGCCAAAGCTTAAAATTTAGCCTTGCTCCACCTGGGTATTCTTACCTGACTACCTGATGTTATGGCTGTAATTTTGACAGATACATTCTTATTAGTAGTATTATTGTTTATCTCCTGTCAATATTGTATCGTTCTTCTATAACCTACAAAAGAGTTCCTAATATATATATAAGACATATGTTTACATATGTATGTTTTGTAGTTTAGCTTCCAAAATACATGACACATGTAAGGCAATTGCTATGATACCATCTTGAGAGAAAGTTTTTCTTCCAAAACAGTAACTGATATAAGAACTAAGCTTTAAGCTTCTGTCTGTTAATGCAGATTGTTGTATTTAAAAAACATATTGGTAAGTAGACAATTAACTTCAAAATTTCCTTTAATACCTTTAAATCTAGTTAGCAACATCAGTGAGGTTCCTTTAAAACTATTTAAAGAGAAGCAATAACTTGGAAATTTGTTTTGTTTTGTTTTGATTGCTAACGTTTGAGATTAGAAGCCAGGTATTCATAACGAGAAAGAAGGTTTTGCAGACATGAACCGATAGGAAGGAAAGAAACAACATGGATGATTGGGCTAAACAAGTACTTTACATATTAATTATTATTAATTTAAATTCACTAAATCACTTTATACATACATTTTATGATATGTGTCTGAAAGTATCCTGTCCAATCTGAAAAAGAAAATTCTCACTTCTGTAAAAGCACAGTATTCCAAGGAGATTGACTAAGACTGTTTCTGGTTTTATAGCTACTGAATCCTGAAGATGACCTCTTACCAGGAAAGATTCGGGACAGTAACCGTTCAACTCTCCTAGCTACAATCCAAGAACATGGCTATCCAACAATCAACTTGGGAATTGTGGGTGATAAGTAAGTACCACATGTTAGTAAAGATGTCACTTCATATTCATGCGATGCACTTTATGGCATCCATGGAAAAAAGGAATACCAGAGAAAATGTCACTCATTGCTAGTGTCACAGTGGTATGAGAGGGCACATCTTGGAGTAGGTATTTCACCCTTTTTGTTAGAGAAATAAGTAAGTCTTTTCTAATATTAAGACAAATCACTTGAAGAAGTTTTTATTTAATGTTGTTTATTTTGTTTTGCCTTCTGTTTGTTGACACAGATATCTATTACTGCTGCAAATTGAATTTATTGCCGCAGTATCATTCCAAGCACTGTACTTATTACACATAAGATGAGACGATTCTACAGCAGCTATGCTTTTTTTTCTGATCCAATAAACGGAGAAGGAAAGTTTGTCTCCGAGTTTATTTTCCATGCCAAAATTAACTTAGAGTATAAAATTTTGTCAGATTCTGAGTAATTGTGTTTTCAGGAAGGCCCCACTGCTGCATGTTGCTCGACATTTCCAGAAATACATGGAAGAATTTAAAAGGAGCTTTTTAAAAAAAAAAAAAAAGTTACTGGTCTCTTTACTTTTATAGCCACAGAGTAGCACCCTACTGATCTGTCTTTCTATTCATCTGACAGTGATTGCTCCTTGTTTCCCAGTGGTAGTGAAGTCCTATCTTGAGAGCTCTAGGATAAGTGATTGAAGTGTTCAGTTTTTAGTCCTTTGCAAGACTCTGCAGTGCCTGCCATCCATGACTTGAATTTCTCGGCATAACATATTTCCTCAATCTGTTAGCCCTAGAGGCTTTGAACAGGCTTTCTTGTTTCTCAATTTGGGTATCAAACCAACTGACAGACTTGGTCTGATAGGGAGTTTTTCAGGTTGTCCTTCTGGGTAGTTAAAAATGAAAAAAAAAAAGAAGGGAGATAGTGAATTTCAGCACCCACATTTCACAGTGATTGATGACAAAGTCCCAGCCAGGAAGACAAGGTTACTGCAAAGGAGCAGGTCATTTCAAAACCAGTCTTTCCTAGTGCAGTATTCAATCCAAAACATCACTAGCTTGACAGAAGGTGTATGAATGAGCCAACCACTGCATGGTTTTACAGTAGTTTAACTAACCTGTCTGATGGCTGCAGGAAATACAAGTGTATTTGAGGTATTCATACAGGAATGTGATAAACAGCAACTGGCAACTGTTGTTGTGATCTTAGGGAAAGCAAAGCCTTCTGGATACTCTCACTATATCCAGGCATTATTTTTGCTTTTCTGGCCTAGCAGGATATCATTGCTGTTCCAAAGAGCAATAAATACCAAAAACCTGCTGCCCATGAATGCTTCCAGTTTCAGGTGGGAATTTCATACAGAGTCTAAACTTGTGAGACTGCTCTTTCCAGCAATGGTATCTAAATGTCCTGGATCTCTAGAGTGTTTTCTATATTGTAAGGACCATTTTAAACTTTAAAACATAGGTAGTGAAGTTTTCAAATAAAACTATTATATATGGATTCTAGATTTGCATAGCTGAGAAAAAAAAAAAAAAAAAAAAAAAAACAAAAAAAAAAAAAGGCTCTCAGCTCCTGAGAGTTATCTCCATGTAAAAGATAAAAGAAGGACTGTCAGCAAATTACTGTAGGTGGAACTTTTTACCACTTGCAGGACCAAAAGTAACAGCTACTGTTACGAATATTATCATCAATGACAACTTACATACTGTCATTAATAATGTGTTATTCCAATGGAAAAGATACCTTCCCTGGTAGTCCCCTCTGGAACAATAAGAGTGTGAACTTGTTTGTTCTTTATGGCCTTGTCGTAATCAAATAGTCTCAACTTTGCTATAAAGTCAACACTATCAAATGGAGATTTTAACTTAAGGTTGTTGTGCAAAACTGTGGCTAGGTACTCCATTGCCTGCAGAAATTTTTTCTATGACCTCCTAGGCATGGAGCGTCTGTGAAGATAAATAATCTTGAAAGCTCTCAGTAAATTTTAGAATCATTTAGGTTGGAAAAGACCTTTCAGGTCATCAAGTCCAACCCAGCACTGACAAGTCCACCACTAAACCATATCCCAAAGTGCCACATCTGTACATCTTTAAATACCACCAGGGATGGAAATTCCATCACTTCCCTGGGCACCCTGTCCCAATGCTTGATAATCCTTTTGATGAAGATATTTTTCTAATATCCAATCTAAGCCTCCCCTGGTGCAACTTGAGGCCACTTCCTCTCATCCTGTCGCAAGTTAGAGAAGAGACTGACCCCCACCTGGCCACAGCCTCCTTTCAGGTAGTTGTAGAGAGCAGTAAAGCTCCCCTGAGCCTCCTTTTCTCCAGGCTAATTAAATAACCCCAGCTCCCTCAGCTGCTTCTCATAGGAGTTGTGCTCCAGACCGTTCACCAGCTTTACAATGTCTTTCTTGTAGTGAAATTTAAGGCCCAAGAGAAATTTTTTACTTTTCTGGTTTTTTACAAATATGTCTTGTGACCCTTTTTTACTTGTCAGATGCTAGCTGGAAATCAGACAGCAATCACATATATCAGTCAAAAGCAGAGTCTGCAGCTTTGCTTTCAGTTATGAAAGAAGTTGATGCTTTTGAATCCTCACTATTAAGATGATCTCTGAGTCTTGAGATAGTATTACACTGGCAAAGGTAGTAAGAGTTCTTTTTAAACTTTTGGTTTCATGGTTTTTTTAGTTTTGTGCTTCCAGAGTCACTTCTCCAGAGGTAGCTACTTTAGCTCATGGAATAGAAATAATGAGCCTCCAATTGTAGAGTGCTTTTGTACTTTGCAGTAAGTTTTGAAAGAATAATTCAGTACTGTTGACCTAGCCAAAAGTCTTCTGCACCTGATACCAGGATTTAGTCTTAAAAGTCTTCTGCTTAAAAGTTCTTCTACACTCACATGCCCAATCCATATATTTACAGCTAAATGCATCTGCATTTCTGTTTCAGTTGAAAGGAAGATCTGATTCTGTAAATTAGTTTGGTAAGAAGTATGCCATTATTTCATTACATAATAAAGCTACTTAACAGAACATTGCCCATATGGATATTTCAGTATTTATCTTTTGCGCTAACATGACTGATTTGATGGAGTACCATGGCACTTGAACAAATGCAATAGACTTACAGAGAGATGTTACAAAGGGTAAAATTTTGACACTTTAGTTAACATGTTTGTAGGAAAGATGAACAAGCCTTCAGTGTCTGTTTTATGGTTTACTGAAGTTAAACCATAGATTATGTGTGTTTGTGTGTACTCATGTATATGTGCATTTTGTATGTATAAAATGTATCCAGAAATTGAAAAATAGAAAGATTTTATATGCCTGCAATGCCTGCAGTACCTACAGGTGCAGTAAAAATACTGGCAAACATATTTTTCCAAAGGAAAAATTAAAAACTTGTAGTTTCTTTTTTTAAATGTATCCTGGTAATGTATTTCTTCCTTCCCATACTTTAGATTTAGAGTGGTTTTTTCCTATTTCTTTTTTTTTTATGAATCCTGTTCATATTTGCAGATCTAATATTCAAGCATGAAAATTGTTTTAGAGAATATTTGCAAAGACAAACTTAAGGGTCAGTATTCTTATATGTCATTTCAGCATATGAATCACTCAGAGGTGGTTAGGTAGAAAAATAGCTTTTCCAGCTGCTTCAAAGCCCAGTATTATGATACATGTAAACACATTCCAAGAGGGAATGTGAAAGGATAGGGAAGCACACAGAATGTCTGTGGGTTTCTGAAGAGTTGTTAGAAACTTTTTAAAAATACTTTTGCATATTAATCATATGTGAAGTTACATTTTGCACTGACCATTTGAATGTCACCTAGCCTACAGGTGTATTTTCATTTGAAACCAATATTTTATTTCTTTTGGGAGCATTTTAATGGTTTCTGTCGTTGTTTGCTTCTGTTCTCATAAATTGTATATATGACTCAACATTCAAAAATTAAAAACAGCAATTCCAAAACACATAGATAAAGTTTAGAATTGAAATCCTAGAAGAAAGCAGTAGAAAAAAAGAACGGACGTGGAAATGCAGTACATGAAATTATGTCTGGCTAGAAGCCAAGATTCTCTCTCTTGTGTTCTTAGCAAGTAAAACAAAGCTGTTTGAAAAGCACACATCTCTGAGTAGAAATGGAAGATATATCCATTTCTAGAACTACTCCAAGCACAAGAAACAAATGCAAAACCAAGAAAAGGAAGAACCATTCTGCTGTTCTTCTTACTGTTGTGTCTACATTTTTGTCTGAATCTCAGAATACTTGCTAAAAAATTAAAAAAACAACTGGCCAGTTAAAACTCGTATTCCAATGTACTTTTGAGTGTTGCCTCCTAATAACAAGATCAAGTTAAAAAGGCTTTTAATTTAATTTCCTTTGCTTATAGTCTATGAAATTATTTGGTTTTTTTTAAAATCCATTGATAAAAACAAGACTTTGATCTGATCTGTAGAAGTCTAATTATCAGGATATTTTTGTGTCTGATTATTTCATTTGTGTTGTTCTTTTTATCCACTGTTTGTTTAAAGTGCATAGTTTAGCCCTAGCAAAATCTGCTCTGGGCCTCTATTCTAGAAAGTCATCTTCCATTTTGACGGCTTTTCTTCTATGAGAGACTCTATTATTAAACTTGCTAAAGAATTTTGATTGCATATGTAATTAATTCAATTTCCTCTCTTTTTACCTTTGTTTACATGAGTGCATTTCCCCCTTCTATGTGTTCATCTCCCTATTTTCTAATTGCCTTATCATTTTCTCAGAGACATGTATAACATTAGCTGCTTCCAGCTGCATTTTCATTTGTGATTTCACAGTGAAGAGAGAAAGAATCTCTCTCTCCTTAGGAGAAAAATTTAGGAAATTCACGTTATCTGCTCACTTGCTTTAAAAATTTATGCAAATAGTTACTAAATTGTATGAGATAAATCCTAAAAGCCTATGAGAGCTTTTCTACATTAGAAGTGTTTAGTCTTTATTTATATACCTCCCCTTTTTGACATATTGTTTGACAAAGAGCTTCTAAATTACAGGTGCACCAGTTCGACATCACCCTTGCTATTGTGACAGCATTAGTCTATAATATCTCTAAAATAAAGGCTTTGAAAGAGTCCCTTCGTATTTTGGAAGGGATACTGAGATCTCATTCAAGGGTTTAGTCTGCTTGAATTTTATGTTTGCCATCCAAAAAAAAGGTTTAAATCTTTTGTACTTGTGTGGGTTGCATGTAATTACCAGTATTATAATTCTGATGGAACATCTGGAGTGGAGGGAGAAAAGCAGAGAAACTGCTCCAACACCAGAATTTCTCGTGCAATATCAGCCTGACATATATCATCATATGAGTTAGAATATGAGTTACGGGCAGAATTCAGGCACAGAATCCTAGCCTCTCCCTGCACCAGTTTAGTGCCCAGCTTGAGTGCAATCAAATATACTGTGAACAAAAGTAGTAGTAGTAGTAGTAGTATCATCTTAAAAATGACTGCAAGAAAACACTTGTTAGAGAAAAGGCCTTAAATTAAATCTCACAATATTAGTTTTTGCTAAAGCGACTTCAGCTCTAGATCTGCTCGCAGAATGATGGTGTTATAAAGTGTGATCATAGACTAATGAACACAGGGACACAGGGTAATGCAGGTGATTCAGATGTGGAGGTCGTCTCCTTCATTGTGCCCTGTCAAGAATATTCTCCTTTTCAAGCAGAATGTTTAATATCTGCCACAACAACTCTTGGTAATCATTAGGGAAAACTTCAAGTAAGTTGTCTTATTGACAAGTCATCTCATCTAATGCACATATTCCGAAAACACAAAGAAACATCTGAGCCAAAACAGAGGTGAAAAAAGAACTTGCGAAACGGGGCAGTGAAAGTCCCAGGGAATCTTCTGTACTAGTAGGAAGCTACGTAGTGTGACAGGTTATAAAATTTCATGTTGTAGAAATGGCAGTTGCAAAGCTAATGCACAACACTGTGTCATTTTCTTAACTGTCTTCAACACAAGCATGGACTTCTTCCTGAATTAGTATTTATAGAATTGCAGCCCAGTAGTAGAATATGATGCTAAACAGCAAATAGTAAAGAGGACAGAATACTATGAAAATCCTGTCTTTGAAAACAGAGGGAATCTATTTGTTGGAGGGAAAGAAAACTTACTGTGGCCTATTTTAGAGGCACATGTTAACTATTTTAAATATACTTGGAGGCATAAGTTCTCCTCATAAGTTCTGTTTTCAAGAGAGCTTCAGCTTCTAGAGGCCAAAATACCATTCGCTTAAATGACTTTCTTAATACCTAGAGTATATATAGGAATTTGGGTTCCCAAGTCACTGAGAAATTTCTGAGGATTGAAATTTTACTACTAATACCCTAGAAGAAAATAACTAAAACTAATAAAGGCAGTAGATACAGAACAATCATAGAAGTGATGAACGTTGAAGATGGGTCACTGTGTCAGTGATAGGAATCACTTAGAAAACTGGTTTAAGTATATTGTTCATGCAGCCAAGTATGAATTCATATATATAGGACTGAAGAATGTAAGTAAAATTTACAGGATGGAGGATTATGTCCTGAGAAGTAAAGATTTAGGAAAAGATTTGAGAATCATTGAAATACAAATTCTAACATATATATAAAGAGCTGTCTCCTATAGAATTAGAAGGTTGTTTTTGACCTTACCTGTGTATTCCCAAGACAAGAACCATTGAATTTCTTACATGCTTGAAAGATGGACTGTGTACTCCAAAGTATTAGAACTCAGGCTGTTTAGTTCAACAAGATATTCTTACAAGATGACTTGATTACATTCCAGTAATACTGAGCCACATGGAGAATAAACTGAATAAAGTTTCTATTTCAGCAGCAATCCCTATATATTCAAGTTAGACTAATTTAGACTGTAAGTAAAGAATGATTTTAACAAGAATAGTAATTAGGAAACTGTATCAAATGCTTTGATAGATACTCATTTCAAAGTGAGATTGGATATATATTTACAGTTCAAACAGAAGCAAGTTCAGGAAGGTTCTCAGACTATCCTAAATAAAAGTCATTAAAAAATGAAAATTAATTCCCCTGGTTGCAAGTAATCTCTTAAGTCTTATTTCAGAAAATTAAGTTAATTTTCATGTTATAGTAATGGACAATATGTAGAAGCACAAACTCAGAAGACCAGTGCCAGCAGAAATAACACAACAGAGCTGGAAAAAGGTTTGGATTTTTGAAACTGCTGTTGATAAGTAGTAGTTGAGGAGTAAACCAGAAGGTGGGATTGTTTGTGAAACTTGAAAATCTTTTCTGTGTCACTTCCTGACACAGTGACCCTATTTTGAGAAATAAAGATTGCCTTTGTTCTCTGGCAATGAATAGAGGAACAAATGAGGGACTGAAGCCATTTTAGGAAATGCCTATCTTGGGAAACCTGTCCGAAAGAAATAGATATCTAAACTTATAACCTGAATAGTTTTAATATTTTTCCATGACTTCCAAGCAACATTAGTATGCATCTGATCTCACAGACGCTTTCTGAGATGACATATGAGAAGAAGCTTGGCAGGGATTTACAAGGTGATAAAAGAGGATTTTAGATTTCATGTTAGCAGTGACCCTGTGCACGTGTAACAGTATAATAATAGTGCAGGGGCATTGACCCACTGTTATCCTCTCATTCTCCAGTCAGACAGGACCTGTGTGTGCCCAGAAGTGATCTTTGAAATGCCAGACTGAAGCTGCTCTGTGCAGGAACAGCTGAGTCTGGGCTGGGAACTGAGAAGGAATGTTGACTTTGTTGTTAATAGTCCAGACAGCTGATAAGAAAAACGGATTCAAGAGTTGCACAATGATGATTCATGACATGGTCCATTTCAAGCTTTAATATCGTATTTTAGTTTTTTAGAAAAGGTATGTCTATATATCTTCATGTCAAATGAAGATTTTTTTACATGTTACATTTAATTGTCCTACATTTAAGAATATAAAAACATAGATTTCTATTAATTTTATATTTCTGTTACAAAGTGCACTATCTAAAAATAGTTTTCTCACAGTAAAAATGACTTGGAGGAAAGATATGTAAAAGGTAATGCTGCCTTCATAAAATGGGAATTCATAGCAAAACATTAATTGTTTAACATAAGGTCATGATAGGAGTAACTTTCTCAGTTTTGGACATTTTTTCTGATCCTGCCTCTTGCAAAAGGGTTGCTGGGTATGAAGCTTCTCATGAATGAAGTGGCATCTTTATTGACTATGGAGTTATAAAATTAGGATAAATAGCTCTTTCCCCCTTGTAGTCAAGAAGGTGACAGTTATTATGCCTTGAGACCTATTTCCTGAATAAGAAGCTAAAAGTGTGAGTAAAAATGTTTCAGTGGGGCCCATTTCCAAATATTTTCCCATTATCTGTGATCCTCCTTCCAAAATGTCAAGTTGTTTAACACTTCATTTTGTGTTGTTTGGAAGTAAAAAGTAAAGAAGTTTCTCCATAGACTCTGCAAGGAAAAATGAACTATGCATTGTTGGCATGCCCATTTGAGCCTAAATCCTTCCTTAACTTCACTTTTCAGTCCTTATGAGAAGCCTGTCCAAACTGTAATAGAGATATGTTCCCATGCAATCCCTTTCTCTCCCATTGGCTGGTCTTGCAAAGAGGAAGCATTTCCCATGGTGGATTTTGAATATTCAGAGCCACCAAGGGGGACACAGCTGGGCACAGAGCTTCCCTTTGACCCCAGGAGACTCTCTCCTTCCCTGGCTCTTTATTATACCCCTTCTGCTTCCTTTACCCTCAGGAAGCCAGATGTTTTTAAAGAAGAAGGGACACAGAGCTTCCAGAACACTGCGGAGACAGGCCTACCAGATTGGTGAGCACTGTTTTTAAAACACTTGGGACGTTGAGGCACATGCATGCTCACAGACAGGCTCAACTGGGTGTCTGTCAGTGCAGAGCTTGGAGCATGGATTCTACCAATGGTTGCCATACAGAAGCAAATGGTGTTTTATTCTGTCCATTAAGTAACACTGCCTTGTCAGTTAAGTTCTTATGCACCAGTGCACTGTAGACTTACATGGCTCCATGATATTGAAAAATTTTAAATTCTGTTAGTACCAAGAATGTTTACATTACTCGTCAGTAGCAGCAAACATCTTTATCCACCAAGACTTTTCCCTTCTAAAAATAGAGCAAATTAGGAAAAAAGCTGTTTGAAGGTAGTAGTGGAGTACAACTCCAGGGAAGTCACTGTTATGACTCTTCAGTCATAGCAAGAGTTGGACTTCGACGATCCTTGTGGGTCCCTTCCAACTCAGGATATTTTGCGATTCTATGATACTCAGACTTGGTTTTCCACTACTATGCTGATCGTCTCTAAAGCAGGCTAACTGGAATATTCATGAAATCCCTAAACTATCCACTATGCATTTTTTCCAAAATACATGTACAATTATATAACACGTCTTATTTAGGGAGATGGTTAATAATATAGATTAATTTACAGAACTTGCCCTCTAACACAGACATGCCAAAGGGGCAGGAGTGATAACAGAGGGAAAGTAAACCACCTGTTATTTCCTCCTTAATAAACAGAAAAAAATTGGTTTCTACAGTTTCATTCTTGTAGGAATTAAAACTAGGTAGAAAAGTAATGAAAATCCTATAGAAGGCTAGTGCCTGAAAATTTAGACATGAGGATCCTCACTGGGGTAAGTGGACCTATTTTTATAACAAGGTTGGAAGACTGGCTTATAGCTTAACGTTCACTTTGCATGCTGTAAAAACAAGTTTCTGTTCTCGTTACTGAATCCATCTGCCATATCCTTAGCTCTCAAAAAACCGGTTCTTGTTTAACAATTGGTTGTTCACACTGAAGCCAGGTGTTAAATAAATCTAGGGTTTCCTCATGAAATTGACTAGAGATCAACCCACTAGAATCCTTTGCTATACTCTACACATCCCAAAAAACTTAATTGCAATTCATTTACAAGAACCTGTAGTCTTTAAAACATTTTAGATTAAAATGAAGAACATGATATAGACTGTCTGCGTTATCTGAAATTGCTTAGAAGCTGGAATTTACCAGCAGGTGACCAACTTGAAATTTCTCATGCAAGTCAATTCACAGATCATTGGTAGCAGCCTGAAACATTAAGTGAGCCTTCTGGCTCTTCTAAGCAGTGCTAGGGCAAGCATCAATCAAAAACAGACCCTAAAATAAGTCTTGCTACCCAAAGCATGAGCAATAAGAAAATGCTTTGGCTCCCAAAGCACAAAAAGATGCAATGGGCATTTTCTTACACTAAAAACATCTTTGTACTTTAAGGAATAGAGTCCAGTATTGTACAGACAAATGAAATTTCCTTCCATTGATTAACAGCTGTCAAAAAATTACAGAATCGCAGAATCAATTAGGTTGGAAAAGACCTCTAGGATCATCCAACCTATCACGGAACATCACCATGTCAACTAGACCTTGGCACTAAGTGCAGCATCCAGTCTTTCCTTAAACATGTCCAGGGACAGTGACTCCACCAGCTCCCTGGGCAGCCCATTCCAATATCTAATCATCGTTTCTGCGAAGAATTTCTTCCTAATGTCCAACCTGAACCTCCCCTGGTGCAGCTAAAGACAATGTCCTCTTGTCCTGTTACTGGTTGCCTGGGAGAAGAGACTGATCCCCACCTGTCTACAACCTCCTTTCAGGTAGTTGTAGAGAGTGATAGGGCTCCCCTGAGCCTCCTTCTCTCCAGGCTAAAGAACCGGAGCTTCCTCAGCCGTTCCTCATAGGGCCTGTGCCCCAGTCCCTTCACCAGCTCCATTGCCCTTTTCTGGACACACACCAGCACCTCAATGTCCTTCTTGTAGTGAGGAGCCCAGAACTGAACACAGGACTCGAGGCGTGGCCTCAGACAATCACTGCCCTGGTCCTGCTGGCCACACCATTGCTGATGCAGGCCATGATGCCATTGGCCTTCTTGGCCACCTGTGCACACTGCTGGCTCACGTTCAGCTGGCTGTTGACCAGCACTCCCAGGTCCTTTTCTGCTGGGCCACTTTCCAGCCACTCTGGAAGCCTGTAGCACTGCATGGGGCTATTGTAGCCAGTTGAGTTGCTGGTCTCAAACAGGCTAAGTTTCTCAGTTCCTTCTCTCCACTAATTTCTAATACTGTAGTTTACTCTTCTTGGGAAACTTGTATATTTCAATAAACAAAAATCAATGTCATTATTTCATTTCACATTTTCTAAAAAATAGCTGTTTGTTTTAGGACACAGCTGATGACAGGGAATTTTAAAAGGTCTTTTTATATTGTCTCTGACCTGTGGCTTCCAAGTCATTTTTCTCCTGGAGACAGACATTTTTTCATGTGGCTAAGTTATGGTTGTGTAAAAGGTAGAGCTTTCTAAAGAAAGCCTTCATTTTGAGGCATTGCTTTTAGGGACTCCATTTCTACCTGTCATAGAGACATCTATATTGTAGTCCAATAGCAGTTACACCAGTTTACATGGGGGATGAACTTTCTTAAAATTCATTTCAAATATATTTAAAATTTACTCTTACTTAAAATTGAGGCTAAGTTAAAATGAAAAGGTAAGAAATTACATGGTAACAATACCATTTTACCATATGTCAGATTTGGCAATAAATTTGGCATAAAGCAATACTATTTGCTTTACATAAATGGCTGGCACTAATTACATCCATCATATTATTTTAACTTCAGTTATTTCAGTCTCCCGGCTGCTCTAACTAGGACGTCAGTATAAGCTAAGTCTCATATTTCATGAGTGAAATAATTGGAGAACCACAGTTACCCTTCAGACTGAGCAGTGCACTGACATGTCTTTAGCATTGATTATTGTATTGTGTGGTGTAATCTTCAGTCATATTGTTACAACCCAGCTACAACTGTTGAATATTTTCCATTCCAAAAGTGCAAACTTTTCAATGAATCCATATTGATTTACTTCCTTTGTAAGAAGGAAGATAAAATAAAAATCTTTATCAGTGTAGTCCCATCCAATTTATTGGAAAAACTAATGGATTTCTGGTAAGTATAGTGATAAGTCCTTGTCATTGTCCTCAGACAGTAAAATAGCCAGAGATAATTTTTTAATTAGTAGAAACCAGCAGTTCTCAGGCTGCTTCTTACATTTAGAGGAGACACACACTATCCTGGATTTAGGGTGAATAAAGTGCTCATGGGTTAGTACGACAGCACAGCACCTGAAGACGACTGTTATCAAAGCTTTGGTCCTGTTCTTTCAGCATTGATGGAAGAATTCGCTACAGTTCAAAAGCAAATAGCAGACAAGAATGTGATACAGGACCCTTCATGTAGGAATGTGCTCCATAGTACATAAAACCTAGGTTCTACAGCATGAGACTTTTTCCTGTAGCATTCCCATGGCTATCTCTTTTTTTGATCTCCCTGGTCTTTTGTCATTCTGGCATATATATGAGTGGGAATCTTCTGAAACAGTTCATGGAAACAATGGAGAAAAAGATGTTATCCAGATACAGAGAAAACATTGAAGCACTAGACAGATCTCATGGTAATGTCAGCAAAAGAGTTGAAGACCTCTAATGAAGACCTCTAAGCAAAATCTCTGAGTTCATAAATGTAACATAAAAAAGAATACTCTGCAAATATCATTCTTATTTACAGCAGCAACAATTAAAGGAAGGAGCAGCAAAAAGTACCAAAGACAGACTCTTTTATGTTGCTGTGAAATAGACAAAACTTACACAGTCATGTTGAACAAGCCAAAAGCTGCTGTAATTATTCCAGCCTTCCTCACAAGCTGACCTATATTCCTAGGGAAAACATATTGCATCTGTTCAAAGTGATCCAGGGAAATACCACAGAAGGTAGAAGGAAGAAACATTATGAGAACGTGATGAAATACACTTGAGAATTTTGAAACAAATACAGTTTCACGAGAGTATCCATATGTTACTACGTACACCATCAAAATTGGATTTTGTTCTTCATTCAGAACCCATACTAGTCAAAACACGGAATTCCTATTACATTCAAATATTCGTTCATTTAATTACATTTATTGAAATATATTCATCGATTTACATTCAGTATTACATTCTACAGAAGTTGGATTTTAGTTGGCTAAACCTAATATGGCATCTATTCACCATTCTGCATCCTGCACATTACTGATATGTAAAATATTCCTCTTGGCCATGAGGTGAGAAGTGGGTGACAGACTTTGTCTTTATGCCTAGCTGCATTTATCTATTCAGTTTGAAATCTGTCACCTCAACTGGATGAGCAGAAGAAGAAAAATGAGAGTTAATCATAAAAGATCAAATCCATATCCCATCTTTCCTCAAAAGGAAATGTCATTGAGCATGATGAGATCTCTGTTTGAGTACAATAAGTACAGTCTCTTGGTTATTTGGTGGAAGTTTTTCTTTGGTAAATTCCTTGGTTTTTTGGAGGTGGAGGGTTTTTTTCTGATGTCGAACTAGAAGCTTGAAAGGAATCTTTGTGTGTAAGGGGAATTTCTGGCAGGTCCTTGTACCTCAGTTAAACCTTTTCTTCTTTAGGGCCTCCTGTTTAGCAGAAAAGAGATCTCATAAGAGGCAAAACTAATACAAACCACTGTTCTCAGTTTGTGGGGACATGGCCATAATGTGCTAAACTCAGGGCACCTCCAGATGGCACATAGCCTTTTGAAGTTTACAGTTAACTACTGTAGTTTTGAGGAGCAGCTGGTCTACTTTGGTCTTTAGTGTGATTGATGTAGGATCACTGCTAGCACTTCAGTTTTCAGTGCGTGTCCAGGAATCTGTAGCACCTCTGAATCTGTGAAAGATCATATCTTTCAGCATATAACTGAAATACTTG